TTAGATGGTTATTATATGTCTTCAACTGTAATCTTTTGTTCTAGACATCTGTATGTTTATAATCTCCTTGAAGATTTCACAAAGAGTGGCTGCCACTTTTTCCCACCTTGGGTCTGAATGAGGTGATATGGACACCATCCCTCAGGGAGTCTTTAAGACAGGTTAGAATATCACAAGTAAGGCCTGTTCTGGCACCTCCATGTCAAGGAGGGAAGTGGGAACTGAATTGATATCTCATCCAGACCAAGATCTTGCCAAGCCAGGGAGAGTTTGAGCCAAGGGCAACCAAATTGTCATGCAATTTCCTACAGTTTTGAATGCTGTGTCTTCTTGATATAATCACTTGACTGCCTTTAACCACTTACTATTGTTCAGTTCAGTTCAGTTCAGTCGCTCAGTCAAGCCCGACTCTTTGCGACCCCATGAATCGCAGCACGCCAGGCCTCTCTGTCCATCACCAACTCCCGGAGTCCACCCAAACCCATGTCCATTGAGTTGGTGGTGCCATCCAACCATCTCATCCTCTGTCGTCCCCTTCTCCTTCCACCCTCAATCTTCCTCAGCATCAGGGTCTTTTCCAATGAGTCAGCTCTTCACTTCAGGTGGCCAAAGTATTGGAGTTTCAGCTTCAACATCAGTCATTCCAATGAACACCCAGGACTGATCTCCTTTAGGATGGACTGGTTGGATCTTCTTGAAGTCCAAGGGACTCTCAAGAGTCTTCTCCAACACCACAGTTCAAAAGCATCAATTCTTCTGTGCTCAGCTTTCTTCATAGTCCAACTCTCACATCCATACATGACCACTGGAAAAACCATAGCCTTGACTAGATGGACCTTTGTTGGCAAAGTAATGTCTCTGCTTTTTAATATGCTGTCTAGGTTGGTCATAACTTTCCTTCCAAGGAGTAAGCGTCTTTTAATTTCATGGCTGCAATCACCATCTGCAGTGATTTTGGAGCCCCCCAAAATAAAGTCTGACACTGTTTCCACTGTTTCCCCATCTATTTCCCATGAAGTGATGGGACCAGATGCCATGATCTTAGTTTTCTGAATGTTGAGCTTTAAGCCAACTTTTTCACTCTCCTCTTTCACTTTCATCAAGAGGCTCTTTAGTTCTTCTTCACTTTCTGCCATAAGGGTGGTGTCATCTGCATATCTGAGGTTATTGATATTTCTCCCGGCAATCTTGATTCCAGCTTGTGCTTCTTCCAGCCCAGCATTTCTCATGATGTACTCTGCATATAAGTTAAATAAGCAGGGTGACAATATACAGCCTTGACGTACTCCTTTTCCTATTTGGAACCAGTCTGTTGTTCCATGTCCAGTTCTAACTGTTGCTTCCTGACCTGCATACAGGTTTCTCAAGAGGCAGGTCAGGTGGTCTGGTATTCCCATCTCTTTCAGAATTTTCCACAGTTTATTGTGATCCACACAGTCAAAGGCTTTGGCATAGTCAATAAAGCAGAAATAGATGTTTTTCTGGAACTCTCTTGCTTTTTTAATGATCCAACAGCAATTTGAACTCTGGTTTCTCTGCCTTTTCTAAATCCAGCTTGAACATCTGGAAGTTCTTGGTTCACATACTGTTGAAGCCCTGCTTGGAGAATTTTGAGCATCACGTTGCTAGTGTGTGAGATGAGTGCAATTGTGTGGTAGTTTGAACATTCTTTGCCATTGCCTTTCTTAGGGATTGGAATCAAAACTGACCTTTTCCAGTCCTGTGGCCACTGAGTTTTCCAAATTTGCTGACATATTGAATGCAGTACTTTAACAGCATCATCTTTCTATATTTGAAATAGCTCAGCTGGAATTTCATCACCTCCACTAACTTTGTTCGTAGGGATGCTTCCTAAAGGCCCACTTGACTCTGTATGCGAGGATGTCTGGCTCTAGGTAGTGATCATACCATTGTGGTTTTCATTAAGATCTTTTTTGTATAGTTATAGTAGCTACATAATATAGAGATGTAAGCTGTTTTTATGCTCTTTTAACACTTTACCCAACATGATGAGCTTTTTCCAATGGAAGAGTTTGTATGGTCTGGTCCATACTAAACTTGACAAACAGTTTTGAATCTTGTTTTTCCAGTGTAATAATATGTTATATATAATCATTTTGTAAAATAATGATTAGCTATTTTTAAAAACCTTACTAACTGCTTCATAACTTCATATATATTATTAGCATAGTATTATTTATTTTTCTATAGCTGGGAAATGAAATTGCTTTTTTTAAGATTTTTTTTGGGGGGCGGATGTGAAACATTTTTTAAAGTCTTTACTGAATTTGTTACAATATTGCTTCTGTTTTATGTTTTGCTTTTTTTGGCCACGAGGCATGTTGTATCTTAGCCCTCCAACCAGGAATTGAATCTGCACTCCCTGCATTGAAAGGCAAAGTCTTAACCACTGGACCACTAAGGAAGTACCCTGAAGTTGCTTTTAATTGTTCAATAAATTATACTAGGATCATAGATCAGTTATATTGAGGCTTGGATAGGCTAATTACATCTTCTACTTTGCAGTGAGTCTAAGAGTCTCCTGACAAAGTACTTCAATTCAGTATACAAATATGATTCAAACATATGTAAAGACTTTTTAGGATGGGGAATGGAGACCAGAGCAGAAAATCAGCAATTTCTCTTCTGTTCTAGAAATGGAGGATTTTTCCCTAGGGGAAAAATCATGTTAAGTGAAGAAATTGTCTAGATCTGTGGAAATAAAGGTTGGCTCTAAAACATGAGGTTACACTTGGTCTTAGGTACATAAATAAGTGAAAATTATAAAACTCTATGTAAGTAGATGAAGTATATACAGACACAGAGATTTCTAAAAGTTGAAACAGTAGATCGAGTGATGAAATATTTAAAGATCTAAATATATATTGTCAAATGGTTTCCTAAAGAATGGTATAAGATTTTTTTTTTTAGTGAAAAAATATAGTGTTTATTAGGAGGAAAATAAACAGGCACACACATGGGCAGACAGACTCAGATAGAGTCACACCCTCATGGTAGTCTGAATCGCTTATATGGAGATCTTTTTGTGTGAATAAGGTACAAAAGGAAAGCATAGTGGAGGATTCTACATGGGACAGAGAGATTGAAAGACCCTTTGGGCTCCTTCCCCGTCAGAAATCGTGTTTCCACTAGGTCCCAGTGGACAGCATCAGCTGTCACTCAAGCATTATTTGAACCTGCATGACCTGGGGTATCCTTAATTTGAGGGTGGCCCTTGTCACTCAATTTGAGTGGACCCATAAAGCGGTGAGCAGACTGAGTTTATGCTCTGCATGTCTTGAATAGAAAGCAAAGCAGAAAGCAAGAGGAAAAGGACAAGAGCAACAGTCAGGGGCCTCAAGCCGCAGCTGGGCAAAGGCTGCGATTTTCCTTGAATTCCTCGGTTTCTACACAAAATATGATCTCGGGTGGCCTCGGACTACAGCAGCTTTAAGCAGAATTTCAGTTCCCAGCCAGAGACTGAAGCCATGCCATGGCAATGAGAGCTCTGAAACCCAGGCACTAGACCACCAAGGACCAGTGGCTAGTGACAAGGCCCTGGCCTGTCAGCTGTGAATAAATGGATTTCCAAGAGAAATGAGAAGTAGTGAAACAAGTAAAGCATTTATTAGGGGGCAAAAGAGCACATGGGAATATGCACACAAAGACAGACTCAGAGACAGTGAGTTGTCCAGATTTTTCTTTAGCAACTTCATCTTTGGGAGGATTACTGGGCTCTGCCCTGTACCTTTTGGAGGGAGAAGGCTGTGGTTCCAAGTCTACTAGAAGGCAGAACCATTTCCTCAGGGCTGCCCAAAAACTCAGAGCTGAACCAGATGGAAGATGTCCATCTAAGAGATGAGGACCTAGTAATCCATTCAAATAGGATTCCTTGGCCCAGGTCCCTAGAAGAAAAGCTTTTGAACATGACCCTGAAGGAAGGAGTGAGTGAAAGTGAAAGTCACTTGGTCGTGTCCAGCTCCTTGCCACCCCATGGACTACACAGTCCATGGAATTCTCCAGGTCAGAATACTGGAGTGGGTAGCCCTCTCCTTCTCCAGGAGATCTTCCCAACCCAGGGATCGAACCCAGGTCTCCCGCATTGCAGGTGGATTCTTCACCAGCTGAGCTACTAGGGAAGCCCTGAAGGAAGGAACATTTCCCCCAAAAGAGACACTAACAGAGGAAGTATCCTCTCCTGGTAGATAAACAACGATAAAGCCAGCTAAACAAAGTCATTTAATTATAACCCTTAAAAAAAGTCTTAATGTTGCATAAACAGATAACCAGCAAAGACCTACTGTATTTGTACATACGGAGAACTCTGCTCAATATTCTGTAATAACCTAAATGGGAAAAGAATTTGAAAAAGAATAGATACATGTATAAGGGAGTCACTTTACTGTACACTTGAAACTAACACAATATTGTCAATCAATTATACTCAACTGTAGAACAAAAATTTAAAAATAAAATCATTAAAATAAATTAATAAAAAAAAGAAAAGAGCAGAGAGAGATAAGTATGCCTGCCATCCTATTCTTTCTCCACAATATTGCAGTACAACTAGTATTCTTTAGACCCAGTTTCTTTGTATTTCTTAGACATGAGGGCTGCCTCAAACACAGGTCCACATTCCTGCTGACCTGACAGAAAAGATTCTGCATCTCTATCCCAAAGGGAGAATCAGTTCTACTCATGCCCAAGAACACAGTCCCAGTCCTAGTATCTTCTGTAATACAAGCCCTGCCAAGAAGTCCCTGCATCCCAGTCTTCTTGGAGCTTCTGCATCTAGAGTCCTCTCACCTTTCCTCCCAACCTTAACACCCTCTGCATCAGGCCCTACCACTGGTGAACCCTTCTGGTTCATTCACCATATGTACTGTCTCACCCCCCAGAATGCTTCGGGAGGATGCCTTCTCATCCTGCTGGGCAACCTGGAACCCACGGAAGCTGGAACTGAGACACCATATAGAGAAAGGACCCAGAGCTTGTGGGTGAGCATGACATCCTGGCCATGCAGGTCCAACTCTGTAACTATGGAGAACTTTCTACAGTTCAAAACAACTGCCTTTAGGTGGTGGAACACAGTTCTTAAATATGCTGGGAACTGAAGCCTACCAAATCCGTAAGAGCATAAAAATCATTGACCTCACCTGGAACCTTGGATCTAGTTTTACAGGTAAGTCGTTTTTGAAATCTTCCACACTTCAGACTTTGGGGAAAATTCTATCTGACCTGGATTGGGGATTTAGCTTGAGTTGTTAGCTATTTTTAATGGGCAATGGGATGGCATTCACATCTCCTTAGTTATGCCAGAATGAAGGTTGGTGGTAACTGCACAGAAAGGTGGGCCAGAAGTGACAGGAACTAACTCCTGAGAAATAAAAACCAAGATGCCAAATACACACATACACACACACACACACACACACACACACACACAAACCACAGACCACAAGCATATGGTGCATTCTTTGGCCTTCTCCTTTAGCACTTTGTATTTAGCTTAAAAGGGCGTGGTTCTTCTCCCCACTCCCTTTTAGACTATATATAACCTGTGGCAGAGCACTAAGGGCTTGGTTTCTCTTTCCGGATTTAGAAGACAGTTCACCAGTGACTGCCAGCCACATTTTTACCCTCAGAACCCTAACTCCCCTTATTCCTGACCTGTCCCTTGCCCTTCCTCCCTCCCTGTGATATGTTGCTGCTGAGACCCCAACTTTCTCTCCCTAGGTCCATGCAGGGGAAGACGCCAGCCCTGACCTCAAGCTCCCACGTGTCCCAATCCCAAGTCCTTAACAATCTGTAGGCTTTTGGTAGATGTTGCTACAGAGACAGAGAAGGCAACGGCACCCCACTCCAGTACTCTTGCCTGGAAAATCCCATGGACGGAGGAGCCTGGTAGCCTGCAGTCCATGGGATCATGAAGAGTCGGGCACGGCTGAGCGGCTTCACTTTCACTTTCCATTTTCATGCATTGGAGAAGGAAACGACAACCCACTCCAGTGTTCTTGCCTGGAGAAACCCAGGGACGGGGGAGCCTGGTGGGCTGCCGTCTATGGGGTCGCACAGAGTTGGACACGACTGAAGATGACTTAGCAGCCTCAGCAGCTACTGAGACAGGAGTCACAGAGCCAAGACTCAGACACGATGGAACAGCGGGCCGGGGTCTGCCCGGGGACAGCAGGAAGTGAGCTGCTGGCCAGCGAGAGAAGTTTCACATGCTGCTCCCCATCACTCGAATTACTGCCAAAATCACACCCCCTCACCCCACCCCCATCCCCACCACGGAGGTGGTAAAACTGACTTTCTCTAAAAGAAAGGTGCCAAAAAGGGTTGGGGGGCTGCGGGATTAGATTTCGGATAAGAAGCTGAGGTTCACATATGTGGCAGTAGTGAAAGTCGCTCAGTCATCTCCGTCTCTTTGCCGCCCCGTGGACTACACAGTCCATGGGGTTTTCTAGACCAGAATACTGGAGTGGGTAGCCTATCCCTTCTCCAGGGGATCTTCCCAATCCAGGGATTGAACCCAGGTCTCCACAAGGGAAGCCCAAGAATACTGGAGTGGGTAGCCTATCCCTGCTCCAGCGGATTTTCCCAGCCCAGGCATCGAACCCGGGTCTCCTGCATTGCAGGCGGATTCTTTACCAGCTGAGCCACCGGGGAAACCCGTTTGGCAACTGCGGGGGCAGGGCGGTGGGGGCGACAAACTTACCCAGGTGCGCTGCTCAGAAGTTTGCAGGATCCTTTTTGTTCCCAGTTTGAAAGGCGAGCTGGTAAACGCTGGGCGAGTTGGCACATCCAGCCAATGGTGACGACGCCGCCTCCGCCCCTCGAAACTTTGCGAGCGAAGCGCCCGGGCTTTAAACACGTGAGTGTCTGAGTGGTGGCGGGAGATTTCTCCTTCTGTGCCTGCTTATCTGTACTTTCGAAGATACTATGCACGATAGGGCTAAAGAACGAAGCTCAACTTAAAACAAAGAAAACGAAACTGGCGAGGTCCGCTTTCTGGTCCCGGTCGCGGTTCTTCCGGGCTCGGCGTCCCCATCCGCCAGCGGCCGTTCCCGCCTGTTAGCGCGGCAGCCAATCAGCTTGTCAGGCAGTGTCCCCACGCGCCGGGAGCCACCCTGAGCGTTTGCTCGACTGTCCTTTCTTTGGCTCATCACAGCCGAAGGGGTATCAGGTTTTCTCCTCGGGACTCTCCAGCTCTACTCGCCTCGTTCCAGCCGCACCGCTGTCCCCTGGACTTAAAGCCCAGTCGCCGCTGGGGACCGGCTAAGAGCTGTCTGTGCACCTAAACGAGGATGGCGCGAGGATCCGGAGGCAGATTCGGACACATTCCCCGAAGAGCACCTCAGGGCCATTTGGGACGATCGGTCCGGAGCCGGCTCCATCTGGTTTCTCTCAAAGGGGTACGATTTTCTTGATACTTTTCCTAGGCCCGCTTTTTTATGGTAATTATGGTAATAGATGTTTCTGCAGCTCAGCCGGTCTAAGACCTGTGATCGGAACCCGCAGACTTTGAAACTCTCGGAAGCCGCCTTTTAAAACCGGGGGAGAGAGAGAGGAAGGAGGAGAGGGAGGGAAGAAGGGAGGGAGGGAGGAATGCCTAAGGAACCCCCGAGTTAGTGGCGTCTCCTACCATCAGCCGCAGACTGAACCTGCGGAGGATTCCAACCCCAACCTTCAAGTCAGTTGAAAATGAATGGAACAACATATCCCCTGTCCGGATCCCGGGCTCTCAGGATCTGTGAGTCTGGTTATTTTATGCAGCTGAGTTTTGGGATAATTTGTTATGCACCTTAGTAACGAACAATATAGTATGTGTGTTCTTCTCAGGCTTCTTTTCCTAGTTTTCTAAGTTTTTCCAACGTTTGCTATTTTCAGACTTTTTCTTTTTCTTTTTTTCATTTGCCCTGCAAGTATCTGTAGATCAGTTTGGAGACAGTGACATCTCTATGAGATTACAGCTTCTGTAATCTGTAATCTATAATCCCCAACTTTCTCTCTCTACGCTCTTTAAGGCACTCCCCGGTCCAAGCAGGGGAAGATGTCCAGCTCTGACCTGACACATGATATATCCTATACTTAATTACATCTTCTTCAACGTCTCACAATGAAGTTATATACAATTTTCCCAAAGGATCTCGCACCTGTTGTCAGATAGTCCTATGTCCCTAAATTTTGAGGCAGTTTTAGATAGTATCTTCAAAAAATTTGGGGGGACATCCTTGGTGGCACCATGGCTAAGAATCCACCTGCCAGTGCAGGGGACAATCCTTGGTCCGGGAAGATCCCACATGCCACAGAGCAGCTAAGCCTTTGGGCCACAACTGCGGAGCCTGCGCTGTAGTCAGGGAGTTGCAACTACTGAGCCGGCTTGCCTAGAGCCCCGTGCTCTGCACCTAGAGGAGCCACGGCAATGAGAAGACTGTGCATCCAATGAAGAGTAGCCCCCTACTTGCCTCAACTACAGAAAAACCTGTTTGCAACAACAAAGACCCAGCACAGTCAAAAGTAAATTGAAAATTTTTTCCATTTGATAGTATAAGTACAATTACTTTGCACACATAGATTTCTGCAACCAGAAAATGGACACAGTTCCTTATTATTCTAATGATTTTTCTGCACTTTTTAAAAAACATAGGCTTCCCTGATGGCTCAGTGGTAAAGAATCCACCTTGCAATGCAATGGACACAGGTTCAATCCCTGGTCTGGGAAGATCCCACATGCCTTGAAGCAGCTAAGCCCACGTGCCACAACTACTGAGCCTGTATTCCAGAGCCCCCAAGCCGCAACTGCTGAAGCCCGTGGATTGTGGAGCCCATGTTCCACAACAAGAGAAGCCACCACAACGAGAAGCCCTAGGCACTGCAATGAGAGAGTAAACCCCGCTCACCACAACTAGAGAAAGTCCATGCAGCCATAAAGACCCAGTACAGCCAAAAATAACTAAATAAAACATAGTCGATCAGGGAATTCCCTGGAGATCCAGCGGTTAGGACTCAGTGGTTTCATTTATTGCAAAGGCCCATGTTCAATCCCTAGTTTGGAAACTAAGACCCTGTAAGCCAAGCAACTCAGCTAAAACATCAAAAGAACCCAGAAAACAATAGTCAGTCATATCACCTTCTTTTCAGTGCCCATTTTCTATTTTTCCTGCTCAACTGGAATGGCTAGAACCTCTTGGGAGGCAGTGAATAAGGGCTGAGAGTAGGCACTCTTCCTGTGTTCACTGTCTTAAGGGGATATCTCAGTAGTTTCTCAGCATGAAAACTATTTGCTGTGTGTTTTCTCATAAACTCCTTTTATCACTTCCCAAAAGGTTGGTCATAGTTCTAATTTGCTAAGAGGCATTATCACGAATGAATATCCAAATTTATTAGAAGCCTTCTCATCTATTCAACTGATCATATGATTTTTCTCATTTGATCTTCTAATCTGTCAAGTTACAAACTGATTGATTTTCTAGTGCTAAAATGAGCATTAAATTCCTCATATAGATACAGTGCTGTGTGTCAATTATATCTCAGTAAAACTAGAAGAAAAAAATAAACGAATTCCTGATTCAAATCACCTTGGCCATGATGTATTATCATTTTTAGATACTGTTGGATTTGGTTTGCTAAAATTTTATTTAGAATTTTTTTCATCTAGACATTGAGTGATGATGATCTGCAATTTTCCTCTCATATTTTACTTGTCCAATTGATTATCAAGGTTATGCTAGCCAGTGTTCATAACAGCAATATGTACAATAGCCAAGAGGTAGAAGTAACCTAAGTATCCATCAACGGATGGATAAAGAAAATGTGGCATATATATGTATATATATATAAATACTACTCACCCATTTTTCAAAAAGGATGAAATAATACCACATGCAGCAACATGGATGGATCCAGAGATTATCATATTAAGTGAAGTAAGTCAGACAGAGAAAGACAAATACATGATATCACTTATATGTGGAATCCAAAAAGTTAATACATGTAAACTTGTCTACAAGACAGAAACAGGCTCATAGACATAGAAAGCAATGTTACAGTTTGCACAGAGGAAATGGGTAGGAGAGGGATAAATTAGGAGTTGGAGATTAATTACACACTTCTATATATAAAGGGGCTTCCCTGATAGCTCAGTTGGTAAAGAATCCGCCTGCAATGCAGGAGACCCTGGTTCCACTCTTGGGTTGGGAAGATCTGCTGGAGAAGGGAGAGGCTACCCACTCCAGTATTCTGGCCTAGAGAATTTCATGGACTGTATAGTCCATGGGGTCACAAAGAGTCCAAAGAGGAAATGGGTAGGAAAGGGATAAATTAGGAGTTGGGGATTAGTTTCACATTCCTATATATAAAATAGATGAACAACACGACCGAGCGACTANACATCTTCAGTATTCTTGCCTGGAGAATCCCCATGGACAGAGGAGCCTGGAGAGCTACAGTCCATGGGGTCACAAAGAGTCCAAAGAGGAAATGGGTAGGAAAGGGATAAATTAGGAGTTGGGGATTAGTTTCACATTCCTATATATAAAATAGATGAACAACACGACCGAGCGACTAAGCACAGCACAGCATGAATATACATATATAACTGAATCAATTTGCTGTGCAGAAAAACTAGTACAACATTGTAAACCAACTATACTTCAATTAAAACAAGAAAGATGTCAATCCAGGAAACTGCTAGAAGAAATATGCAAAATAAAGGGATTTAAAAACAAGAGTATGCTAGCATCATAAAGTTATTTAGGCAGTGTTTCCTCTTCTGTTCTTGTGGGTAGTTTGTGTAATACTGAAACTCTCTTCTTTAAACTTATATTTTAGAAGTTGCTATGATAGAGTTACTAAGCTGTTCTGGATTTTTCCAATGTATACATGTGTGTGTGCTAAGTTGCTTCAGTTGTGTCTAACTCTGTGACCCCATGAACTGGGGAACTAGAGAACCAATCCAGATTAAAGGAGATTAAGAAACATAAATATTATATGTGTTCCTAGATTGAATCCCAGACCAGATTTTTTTCTTTTGCCATAAAATTCAAATAAAGTCTGTAGATTAGGTCATAGTAGTGTATCAGTTTTAATTTACTGGTTTTGATGATTGTACTCTGAATGTCCTTATTCTTAAGAAAATACCCACTAAAGTACTAGTGAAAAATGAAAGTGGTAGTTGCTCAGTGTCCGATTTTGTGACCCCATGGACTGTAGCCCGCCAGGCTCCTCTGTCCATGGAATTCTCCAGGCAAGAATACTGGAGTGGGCTGCCATTGCCTTCTCCAAGGGATCTTCCAGACCCAGTGATCGAACTCAGGTCTCCTGCTTTGCAGGTGGATTCTTTACCGTTTAAGCCACGAGGGAAGGAGTATTATGCCTGCAACTTACTCTCAATATTTCAGGGGGAAAAAAAGTGGCAGTAGAAGGAGGATAAGGAGAAAAAAGCCATCAGGATAACCTGTGGTCAAAGGACTCTGGGCACAGTGCTATCTAATATCTAATTTAAAATATTTCCCTCTCGCTCTAATCAAGTCTTTACTGTTTTGCTAAAATCAGGGTCTGATATTTCATGTAACTTGGGAAACAGAGGAAGAGATCTTTTTCTTCTTGGGATACAGAGCAGTATGGCAGGGGCGGAGCTTGCAAGACTTGTCGGGTCAATCAAGGAGGTAACCAGCAGAGGTCTTGACATAGCAGTTTAGAGCAAAAAGTGAGAGGAGAGGACGAGAAGAGATCTGCGGAGCATGGAAGCATTTCTGGCACTCTCAGAAATCTTAATGCAAGGAAACTAGAGAAAAGACCAAATTTTCTGTATTTACACATAATGAGAGCCCAGACAATATCAAATGGGTGTTAAAAATCTCAATGTCACTGATAACTAGAGAACTTACGGTCATTCAGATTGCAAATGGGTGGGTTTTTTCCTGCTAAAAGGAAAAGAAATTGAACAAACCATTTTGAGCCTCCCTCCATTCCCCTTGTGTTGATTGTAGAAGAAAGAAAAGCATAAAAACAGGTGCTGTAGAATTTTTGGTTATATAGATTCTCCAGTGTAGAAAGGCAATGGCATCCTGGTCTTTAGAACTATGTGAAATACATTGTAAATGTGGTTGCTGCCATGAACCCCAGAATAGATCAGAAGTATATTTGGGTAAGGCCATTTGTGCAACATGGATGGACCTAGAGAGTGTCATACTGAGGGAAGTAAACCAGACAGAGAAAGAGAAATATCATATGACATCCCTAATATGTGGACTCTAAAAAACAATGATACAAATGAACTTGCTTACAGAACAGAGACTCACAGACTTAGAAAATGAACTCATGGTTGCCGAGGGAAAGGGATAGTTAAGGACTTTGGGAAGGATATGTACACGCTGCTGTATTTGAAATGGATAACCAACAAAGACCTGTT